GTTTGCAGAAATAATAATGGTATGTATTTCAGATTACAGTCCTACATCACTTATGTCGACAAGCTGCCTATCTCGACAAAAAGCAAAATCCTGGTCCTTTAGTCTACTATTACTACCAAAATTGTCATGCTTATGTCGACGTCGAGATAAAAATACAAGTATATGTCGACAGAATCCCTTGGTCCCAGTTTGAACAAATACTTTGTTGTCTTATCGTTTACGTCGACAAGCTGCCAGTCCCTATCCATTCTTTGTTCAACAATTTGTTGATCTTGCCGTCAATTTTATCACCGTATCATTTATGCTGGAAAGCAACCAGTTCTGACATGTACTTTTTTCAACAATTAGTTGATCTTGCCGGCAGGCTTTAATGTCGCGGTCATGTTAAAAAAAAAAACACAGGCACAAAAAACAGGCTATTGTTTTGTCCAATAAAGTTGGTCTCTCGTGGCGACTTAAATAAAAGCAATGAAATCTGATCTGATTCTTGCATTTAACAAGTGATCGTTGATTAAATAGGTTTTTTGTGCTGTGAAAGTTTCCTTTTTAACTTAAACGCAGATTTGTTTACAGTCTCTAGAAACTAAATATGTGGCTGTTAAGGGAAGTTGAAGGTGGGGCATCTTGCAAAGATGTCTGTGAAAATTTTTAAATATATTGAACTGACATTGTTACAATATTGTATCGAAAGAATCATTTTCTTTTAATATACCTCATTAGCACGTGTCAATATACACAATAGTATGCCTTCATTAATCATACCAGCCGCATAGCTCTTGTTTGCTTTTATGTAGTTTTCACGATGACTTCTGTAATTAAATGCAATTACTGTTTAAATCAACTTGTTGACAGGTTTTTTTTTACCCTTGAATAGCCCCATCCCCTTTGTAACCTCAATAATTTGGGAACAGACTGATAAAAATCTAGGCCAGTTTAAGTACATGTACTTGAAGCATGTAAATAGCTGTGATAATACCAACCTTGAATATCGTAATGCTTTTCATATCAGGATGTGACCGATGCAATATTTTGTTGTGGATTTTCTTACACAAAGGTAACCAAAATGTAATTTGTCAATATACAAGTGTCTTTCACACTGATTTTGTCTTTATCTACTATGGCAGAGTGGTCTAAAGTGCTCATGGTTATGGATCACTGCCATCTCACCTCTATCTGTGCGAGTTTAACTTGTATCTTTTTTTTTCAACCAATCCCCAACATTTATAACGATATCTGCCTCTGTCAACAATATTTTCTCAGGCCTGAGCATGTCGACACAAGCGGGTTGGACAGTACTGGCAATAAGGAAATTGCATTACTGATGCTAAAATGCTTTACCCGCCCCCAAGTTTTGTTTCAAGAGAGTCATGTGCATTCCTTCACATTTCATGCTATTTGGTAGATTACTGCCCTGAACCTTTTGGAAAGATAATAAACACTAAAATGTAAATGTAAACTTAAAATACATACAATAATCATTCAGTTTGAAGTTTAAATATTCACAATATTTATATCCATAAAGACTCTATTCACATCAAATACCCCACCCGCCCAAAAAAAAACAACATTTAAACATATTTTGTATTTTTTTGTATGCACAATGATGTCTCCATTCTCAACAAATACCAGTATGTACACTTCCTTCAGTTAGGGGGCAAGTGGTGTTCATCTTAGCTCACTGGTGGTTATTACACTGAATGACACTTACAAAATGTGTCACTGGTTGCGAATCTTACTTCATTAAGCACTTGGCATTACATGGTACCATATTCACAATTTCCTATGGGTATCCTCATTTCTCAGTTCGATCCTGTCTGCTGAATATTGACCACAAACAGGTTTTAACTAGAATGACCAGACCCAATAATTGTTGTATTTAATAAGCATGTAAATAGAACTGTAACGTGATTTTGTTTTTTAGGCAATGGATATCAAAGTAAGAATGAATTGTTGACACAGTAGTATCAACTGATAATGGAATGTAGCATTGCCATTGTACAGGAGTATGATCACTATTGTCAACAAACGTACCAATATTGAGTACAATTGTCCTGAAACCTCTCTCACATCAAGGCATATTTTTTTATAATGAATTGCATGAAGAAATTGTGATGGAATATGTCTTTGTCATGGTTATTCATTTTCTAACTTGTCTATTCAAATGCAAATATATGTAACCAAATTTAAATAACACACATTACTAGCACATGCTGCTACAGTGTAATTATCTATTATGAAAATGGATTTAATACTGATAATCATGTAGGTATTTTAAAATCCTTCTCAATGCCACGTCCCCATTTTTTGTAAATAATCTCTTCCCAAAATGATTATTATATTTACACATTATATTTCATACTTTGGAAAAAAAACATTCTTTTATATAACAAAATAGTCAACGATAAACGCTAAAATGATTTGAATAACACAATCTATATACAAGTCAATTTGGAGTATAAGACAATGCCCATCCTTTAAGATCCAACAGAAGTAACTTATAGGCCAGCAAATGTTTATCATCTGTTTAAAATTTTTAGGCACCTGTTCTACTTTTTGTAGCTTTAACATAGATTCAGATTTTTAATTTTTCGGAAAGAATTTAATTTGGCTCCATGGACGCCTTGCCAAAATAGCTTCCTTTCTCTTTGCTCATTCACGTGCTGCTTTTCATGGTAGATATATTGTTGTTCTAGTTGTCTTTCTACAGCAGCCTTCTCCTCCTTAGGCCTTGGTATTCTTGTCACCTTCTTTTTCTTTTTTTTGTACTTGGTTTGCAGTTTTTACCTATAAAACAATATTCCCTTTTGCTTTCAGAAGTTACATTCACCAAACATTGATACTATTTTAAACAGGAATTATTCAACTGTTTACCATGTAAAAATGTAAAGAAACCAATACTGGCAATAGAAAACATTAAAATATAGAATTGTAACATACTATTTAATATGCTGAAACAGCAATAGCTACAAGTGAATATCATCTACAAGCATAGTAAGCATCACGCAAAATGTTTAACCTCAGCATTACAGACATAGCAGATGAATTGCAGCCAGCAAAAGAAAGTAAACAAGTTTAAGTATTATCATTCTCTAGGAACACATCAAATCACAAAAGGTATACCATGCCATAAACAAATATGATTTAGATATACTGGAACAATAAGTTTTGACATAAAATTAACTAAGTTTAATGTTTTGGATCACCAATTTTATTAAAACAATCTTATTTTACTTCCTCTTAAAATATGCTTTACAACAATGATACCCAATTGAAGATGTGACTGAAATTTCAGCGAAATAACAGTCAAAAGTTTTTGGCATTCAATCAAATTTCCTTTATTTGCTGAAATTATGATAGTTTAGGAGATTGTACCAAATTTTCTGAAAATATCTATGAAATTTTGTTATTGAAATTTCACTGACTGCCAACATTTCTAAAAAATAACTGAGAATTTGTGATTAAAATTTCACGGACACTTTGCCAAAAATTCTGAATAGTGATATTCTATGATTGTAATAGGACTGACATTTCAATATAAAATATCAATAAGTAAATTTTTTTGTACAATTCGAATGATTTTCAGCAAAGTTTATATTTCCTGCTTCTGATAGCTGTAATTTTATTTTTATTGTTTATTTTGGGAACAATAACTTCTTTCCAAATCGTTCCTTGTAATTCTTTTTCAAATTGTTGTTGTATTTTTGTTCAACTTCAATTGGATTTAATTTCCCTCCAAAAAAATATTTTATTGTTGTTCGTTTTAAAGCATAATTTTGCTTTTCTCGTGACGAATCTGATTTTCCTCTACATGGACCCTTTTTTAAATATTGTCTCCGAGCTTTGTATTAAGTATTTGTTCCTAATATTATTTAACAGATGATCGCTATAAAGAAATTTTTCATTGATTAAAAATTTGTTCTTGCCCAATGAATCGTAGCGTAATGGAAACTGATGAGAATAAGCATGCTTGCTGAACTTGGCGATTCGAATTTTCGAGCGGGATATGAGTTGAATAACCATTTGAAAAATGTGCGGCAATGAGAATAGCTTGAATGCAAACTTAATTGGTTAATCTGTATGAAAACTGAAAGCCAGGACTAGCATTTTGCTTTTTGTGCCATAAAGAGCTTAACGGAAGCGGCTAGCGTGCTAAATATAACAAGTAAATGAACCAGCATGATTTTATAACTGCAAACTGGTTAACTTCCAGAATTTTAAGGAGAGACAACGTATAGATCACTGGTGGGAATTGTTTCTATTGCTGCCAGATACTCATTTTTTTTTAAAAGTCATATTTTTGAAGAGTATCCTTGGCCCACAAATATAAACATCCTTCAAATTATTGTTTATATATAATATATTATCTTATATATAATATATTATCAAAATATTTCAGTTGTGTTAGATTTAAGTGTAAAATAATTGTAATTATATCATGGTAAACGCTTGTCACAGCTATTTATGGAACAAGGACTAATTCAAGAGACCAAACATTAACATAAGGCAGGCCTCTAACATTTCGTTTCTTAATGTCTCAAAATGGATGCTTTTTTGTAATTTTGTATCATATTCACAGTTGAATTTTTAAATGCAAGATAATATTTTATATATGTTTATGTGTTCACAGATGTCTGTGCATATGTTCTAGGCTTGATAATTTGATTTTTAAAATTATTTAATTATTTAGTGTCCAGCCAGATTTTTCCCATTATATTGTATTTACTCTATATAATATATTGTGTATAACAGATAGAAGGAATCAAGGTAGATTAGTTTTGTAATTAAGTGAGTTACCTTCTCTAAATACAGATTTTATTATTATTATTATTATTATTATTATTATTATTATTATTATTATTATTATTATTATTATTATTATTAATTCCCTTATATCTTGCCTTGAATGTCATATCATTACAACATCTGTATAATTTTGTTTTATGTACACTGAAGTATCACTTTGATTAATAAAGTTCTGTTTAATTCATATCTAGTACCACTCTGGTGACCTGCTGGTTAGAGCATCCGCCTAGGATGCGGGAGGTCGTGGGTTCGATCCCCGACCGAGTCAAACCAAGGACGTACCAAAATGGTACTAACAGCTGCCAAGCTTGGCACTCAGCATTAAGAGGTTAATGTTAGGACTTGTCGGCCTGGTGTCAGGATAATGTGAATGAATGGTATATTATGATATGTGTCTCCCGCATGATACCCCAGTGCTAGACATCATTATAAACTGCCACACTGCAGATATCATAGCAATATGAACAAAAATTGTTAAAGCTACCTTAAAAATCAAAAACACACACACATACACACACACTTCATATCTATTATTTTTAAACCTTTTGAAATATCTGAAAAAATTCCTGAAACTTCAGTATAATACTATATAATGATCAAAATTGTTGTGAAATCTCACCGAAATTCTAGTAAACTCTCACATCACGAAATATTTGAGATCTCTGCAAAACTTTAGTGAAAAGTTTGGCCAAAAATGTTTGTAAAATCTCACCAGAATTTCGTTGAAAGTTTTGGTCAGAGCTTTGTAAAATCTCACAAATATTTCAGTGAAATTTTAGTAGGTATCGCCAAACTTTCAATGAAAGTTTTGGTTAAAATATTTGTGACATCTCACCAAACTTGAGGTGAAATGAAAAAGACTTAAATGATGCCATACGAATTAGGTTATATATGCAAGAAAGAAAATGAGAAACAAGACAAACCTAAATCTTATTTGATCATTAGTCAAAATAAAATGTATGATCCATTTTAAAAATTATTCCGAATATTTATCATTGATGCCCAATAATGTCTAAAAATCATTAGGTAGTTTAATAGAAGTCTGAAGCCGATTTTTTATTGGATGATATTTAAGTAGATATTTTAGGCAGCCTGTTTGTGAGACAGAAACCTTAGGCGGATTTTTATTTCAGGTGGATGTTTCAGGCGGGTTTTCTTTTCAGGTAGAATTTTATTTCAGGTGGAAATCTTAGATGGAAAATATCACCCGCTTGAAGACACCTGCCATTTACGCATGACGTTACAATGTACAAACTGACCAAGATTATATTGAATCAAGGTAACTATACGACCGTATCTCGCAAATAAAAATAATTATTTTAAAATACATCTACTATGAGTGCAAACGATAATCTGTTCGTTAGCATGGGTAACATAAGTGTTGTTAAAGCATGTTGTTGTTTATACTATTAGCCCTGCAAATATACATTATCATCACATCTGGGAAACAAATGGAAGTCCGGGTGATGGATAAACACAAGTTGGAGCTAGCAATAAACTCTTTCGTAGCACTTTCTGACACGATATCAAATACAAAGGTTATTTTATTACAAAGCAAACAACCCCGAAAACTGACTTTGGTATATTTTAAATGTGTCGATTTTTCTTATGAAGTTGGCCGACATAAACAAGTCAAGTTTGATTCATTTGGATTCTTTTAAGTGTGCCGATTTTCTGTTCTTTTTTTTTTTTTTTTTTTTTTTGTTGTTGTTTTTTTTTTAAATAAAGTCGGTCGACATAGAGAAGCCAACATTGATTCCTTTTTAATAAATTGAAACAATGGAACAGTTTAGAAAGCGACACAATCTAGTTCGTCACGCACGCATATCGATATAAGGCTGAGCAGTAAATTAGTTTTTAGTATTTTCATCTAAATGTTCCATATCCAGTGGTTATAATGTTTAATTTTTCGACAACAATAAACATGTACTTCGTCATGTGGGGGATAAATGTACGTCATTTCCGGCTGGCGTCCTCTATAGATGGGAAATGGTAGCTAAGGGGTAGTAACTGCGTTGAATACGTCTTTTCGAATAATTAAATTATTTCTTTTTTACACTTGATAATTGGTTTGTTCTTTTTGTGCGAGTTTAACTACTTTTAATCATGTAATGCAAATCTGATGTATACAGAAAAATGTTGGAGTTTGGCAGGCGACGTTTAAGCGGAATCTTGACAACCGACTAGGTGAGACCGAACAATTTTGTAAGTGCCTTAAATAGGACATGATTATGGGTAAATAATAACTTAAAATATGAGATTAATGGATGGAATAACAAAGATCTGAGCAAAGATATAGCGCGTAGCAACACAAGACCCAGTACTTAAAATATAACAATTTAATTAATTACAAAAACAAAATGAAATTATACATGATGTATGAATGTTACACTTTCTCTTTGAATAGAATTACAAAATGTATACGAAATTAGCCGTTCTGTCATACCGATAAAACAAGTTTCATCATAGAATTTAATGAATGATTGAACTCATTTCGCCCAGCATGCCGTAATAGCTTGGTTGCTCCCGGTCCTTCCAAATTCAATATTGGTGACAGGTAAAAGTCGCCGTTTTACTTTACCTCTTCTTTCTGTATCTCTCTAGCCTCTTTCGGGCATTAGCACTGCGTGTTGCACATATGGAGCTTTTTTTTTTCCTTGTGGTTACTTGAGATGCATTTCCATTCTATAAAGCCGAATCTCTCGATCGATCGATCGATTTAGTGTCTCTCACTTTCCACAACCAGTTCTTTGGACAATTTAAGAGCGAGAAATACTTGTTATTCCCTGAATCAAACTTCTTGGCTTCCCACAGAATTTTAGACTGACTAATTTCGCAAGGAAGAATACTTAAAACATCGAATTTTGTCTGGGAAGCAAACCACTTCGTTTAGTGCAGCTAATCAGGATAATCTTTCTCTAAATAACAAACTTTTAACACTCGGATCGAAGTCAGAATAATTCTATCTGGTTCGCCTTTATTAACAAACATTAATTCAGTTCAATTGTCATTCAGTATTCATGCAGGTGCTAGTTTTTTTTCCCTCAAACTCATATTGGTTATTAAAATTTTCATCTTCTAAACCAGTCATTCTTATGCCTATTAATAGACTCGTCCTACCCATAATTCCGTGTTTCATTCAGCTTCGAAATTCTCTTTGTTGTTTCAGGTTCAGCTACATGTAATAAATTAATCTTTGTATCTCCTTCAGTTTTTAATTAATCTGTTTTGGTCAGAAATTATTGGTTCAAGAAAGTTAAATACTTTTTATCTTTACATGTTTTCACAATACTAAGAAATTATTATACACTTCTTAGCCAACACATTCTTTATCTTTAATTCTTCAATTTGAGTGTGTACATTGTTATAATATTCAGTGAATGTAACACCTTCTTTTATGTTGATCCTATCAGTCCAGTATAAAATAAATAAAGTGTAACGCATTTTCATCGCTCTTATCGTGTTTCATTAATATTTCATTTGCTTATGCCTCGCTCTATCGTTAGGCTATCTCTGTTATTCCATTTTTTTTCTTCAGTTCTTCTAAGGTATTATTAATACCAACAATCATTTTCTCCAAATCCGTATTTTTTAAAACTATTACCTTTTAAATTTTTCGGGGTTTATTTTGTGGGGGTTTTGGATTTTTTTGTTGTTGTTGTTTGTTTGTTTTGGGATTTCATTATTGTAATCTCTCTGTAACTGTTCCAGTTGTTATTACAAATTGTTATAGTTTCATAACATTTTTATTGTCTCTTGCACTCCAAGGAGTTACTTCACTTTTCTGTTTTTAACAACCTGATATTTTGGAAGTTGCCAATTTATTGTCAACTTATTTTCTACATGTATAAATCTCTTTAAATGTTTTTTCTCCCAAATCTTGCGTATTTCAGCATCAACTCGACTTGGTACAAAATTTATACAGCGTCATTTATGCAACGTCATCAATAAATAGGTCACGTAAAATTATGATAAGGCTTGACCTAGAGTAACGGCTTACTTTTCTGTTTGTACCTCCATTTTTAAAGGAAATCGTTTGATGCGTTCAATCTCCAAAAGTATACCTCTATGACTTGTTCGAGATATTTCAGTTTCTGTAATTTATTTAGCATAAAGTCTGCAACTCCGGTTTACGTCATCAATTTAGCACTATTTACTTTACATGAAAAATATGTTACAGGCATACAGCTGGAGTTTATCATGTGCTGACGTTATGATTATGCTGAAATTCATTATGTTAATCATACCTTTTCGAAATCGTTAATAATCACCATTAATATCTTATAAAAAAAAATAAACAGGTAGATCCTACGAGATGAGACAATAAGGCTGTAAATATTGTTGAAAAATAGGCTCTGACCCTTTTCCGTCCACTCTTTCTCATACAGTCTGCAATGTTTTGACGGTATTTGTTACGTTTATGAATCTCTGTGAGAACAATCTTATTCCAAAACATTTTTCTATACATGTATCTACAATTACCCGATTGCGCAATAATTTTCGTGACCTCGGTACAGTCGCAGATGAGTATTTCTTTTAAAAAAAAAAAACTCCCGTGATGGATGTTACACTTACTGCTATCCACCGCAACTTGGTGATCTTGTCGCTGTCAAAAATTAAATTAGAACGGTGCTATCTAACGTTGATACGATTATTAGGCGGTTAGGTGTCTTCAGTGATTCCAAGTAGTTCTCGAACGTTACAGCAACGTTAAAGCGAGACATTGATCAAGGACAATCAACGCTCGCGGACATTGCCAAAGGAATCCCTGACATAGCCGCTAAAATCCAACATATGGTCAAAATCACTGACATTCATACTACATCAGCGCTACGAAATGTAGCACATTTGCAACATACTAATGAAGGCATTCGTTCGACAAATTTTCCGGAGTTGTATTGGTCCTGCTAACGCTCGTAGTGATGGTTTTTTTAGTTCGTATGTAAAAGTCCTCAACTGACATCCTAACGATGTTATAAATTATGATTTCGTCCGAATATGTGTACAACCAAGCACTGGGATATCAATCATATCTCAAGCAAATTATCACCGACCATATTGAAAAGCTCCCAAAACTACAATCGTAGATTAACCACCACGTATACAATATAGGCCATTGTCAGAACCCCTTCGAAGACGTTAGGTTCGATTTAAGCGGTGTATATCATTCGTTCCTGCTATTCCAATCGTAGTCAGCATCGCTATCGCAGCCGCACCAGTGTTAAACATAAACTCGAGAAAAAATCTAACTGTGCTATAAAGACACTAC